ACCAGGAAGAGAAAAGGGGAAAATCCTCCTGCCTGACTGCTTTAGCTGAACATTGGTCTTTTTCCAGTCTTTTGATTTGGACTGAAACATGAGTTCTTGTTGGGTCTCAAGCCTGCTGGCCTTCACACTGAAATTTACACCATTATCTCCCCTGGTCCCCGACCATCAGACTCAGGCTGGAACTACACATTGGCTTTCCGGGGTCTTCAACTTTGCTGACTGTAGACCTTGTGGCTTCTTATCCTCCATAACCACGTGAACCAATTTCTTATCATTACATATATATGTGTGTGTGTATATACACACGCACATGCACACACCTATGAATGCTGGGAAACATCATGAACACACACTTTATGGAATAGGTGGGCTTTAGCTGATGGGTAACGGGAGTATTTGGAGAGTACAATACTAATATGTATCGAGAGACTATCATGTACTAGGCTTTGCATTCAGGACTCCTTTTGCAAATAGCAGAAACCAATGCTGATTTACTGAAAGATAATTTACTGGAAGACTTGAAAATAGGTGAGATACAAGGTCAAGTAAGTGGCTGACTACCACCAAGGTAATGCCACAGGAACATTGGCTTTGAGTGGAATTAACATTGCTTCCAGTCAATGAATGGCACCAATAAAAGTCTGCTGGCACCACACACAATTGGATGCTGGGCACCATCGTGCCAAAACAGATACCATTCTGCTGCAGTGAACTCTAAACCCTTTCTAAATTCTTCTTTCTTAGTGGGAAGGTCTCCTGCATCTAGATGCAAGGTCTAGGAAAGCAACATCTGATTGATAAGGATTATGTAAATTGCCATTATTATTATTATTATCATTGTTATCATTGAGACTGTGTCTCACTCTTTAGCCCAGACTGGAGTGAAGTGGCTTGATCTTGGCTCCCTGTGGGTTCAAGTGATTCTTTTGCCTCAGCCTCCTGAGTAGCTGGGATTACAGGCACACACCACCATGCCTGGCTAATTTTTTGTATCTTTTGTAGAGATGGGGCTTCTCCATGTTGGCCAGGCTTGACTTGAACTCCTGACTTCAGGTGATCCACCTGCCTGGGCCTCCCAAAGTGGTAGTATTACAGGCGTGAGCCACTACCTCAGATTCTTTTTCAAATCTCAGTCTCTAAAAAGAGAAGAAGGAATTTGGATGCTGAGGAGCAAAAACATGACCAATCAAAATTTATCCACCATGCTGACTTTAATGATGTTTTAGAAATGAATCCTCAGAACAAATACTAAAAGTACATATTATTACATGCATATCACACATGATAGCCTGAGACTCTAATAAAATTACTTTCCAAAATTTATTTAAAAATGCCAAAACTATGCTTCATACACTGGATCTTATTTTACTGTGTCACAAAATCTCCCTCACATTTCAGTATTAGTATTTATTCTTTAGATTTTAACCAAATATTAGCTTCAAATGTGTGTGCTTTTGGATATAATTAAAGGTGCACTTCTGGATATAATTCTCCTGAGTATTTTTTTGGTGTGCCACACCCACTCAATTTTGTGTTTTATCTTACCTAGATAATTATAGCTCAACAAAGACCAATGAAATAGAAAAAAGAAACATCTGGGCAAGTAAAAATGGTTAGCAAATGTTTAATTTATACAGATTCAGCATGAAATGATCAGAAAATATAGATCATTGTTAAAAAACCTCTTCGACTATTGCACTCACTTATACCGGTCTTAGTCATTTATCCATGTTTAGGGTTTTCAATGTTCACAGTTGTCATCAGCTTATCCTACTTTCCTTTTCATATGTGCATTGATTTAAAAAGGTAATATTTTGAAGTTAAAACTACTTTACTTAGAATTCTTAATCTCTTCCATTCAGTAAAGAAATTAGAATATTCCAAGCTTTGCAAAAAATTGAATGTCTTCTCATTTCATAAATTACAAAGAGAATTGTGATACAACATTTCATTTGATTCACAATAAAGTCTTCAGTTCTACAGAGGAGACAGTTTGTTTCTGAGAGCATAACTGTTTTGCCACATGTCACATAGTATCAACCCAGGTTTTTAGTTGTCCTGCCCCACACTGCATTTTAAGGTAATGAATGCATGATCATGTTTTCACAATTTAAGTGAAAAACCAAAGATTATAGCCATTGCAGATGGCTGTCCCATTTAATACCTATATTAAAATAACATTTAAGAGTATGTGAAGATAGTTGTGACATAGTGAAGAAAATATGTGGCTAACTACAGCTGAGAGATTAGCTATTTAAAATTGTGCATGAAGGAACCCAAGAAATAGTGATTTTTTCTTTTTTCCTTTTTTTTCCCGTGTCCCCAACTACATAGGATGTTACACACAAGTTAATAAGAGTCGCTGGTACAAATTTCAGAAAGAAAATAATCAATGGGAATCGAAGTAGCTTTTAAGTGGGAAAAGCAAGAAGGGTTTGGCTAAGGTGGGGGAGAAATGGATGAAGAAAATCGTGTTTTCAAGTTATTTCTTAGGAGAATAGTAACTTCTTAGCCAGTGTCTGCACTATACAATATTTAGGAACCTATTATTTTCCTGCAACCCTTATCTTTCTTCTGTTAAGGTAACCAAAAAGGCAGAGAAAGCTGCAATAATAATAGAACTAGATTCTTTTTTTAAAAAATTATACTTTAAGTTCTAGGGTACATGTGCACAACGTGCAGGTTTGTTATATATGTATACATGTGCCTTGTTGGTGTGCTGCACCCATTAACTCGTCATTTACATTAGGTATATCTCCTAATGCTATTCCTCCCCCCTACCCACTCCCCACAAAGGGACCCGGTGTGTGATGTTCCCCTTCCTGAGTCCAAGTGATCTCATTGTTCAATTCCCACCTATGAATGAGAACATGCGGTATTTGGTTTTCTGTTCTTGCTATAGTTTGCTGAGAACGATGGTTTCCAGTTGCATCCATGTCCCTGCAAAGGACACAAACTCATCCTTTTTTATGGCTGCATAGTATTCCATGGTGTATATGTGCCACATTTTCTCAATCCAGTCTGTCACTGATGGACATTTGGGTTCATTCCAAGTCTTTGCTATTGTGAATAGGATAATTTGATCAAGTAGTCTCACTTCTGCTAGTAAAAACTTATTATACTTATAAAGCATCACATTGTAAAGAGAACAATGGTTTCCTGACACTATTTTATTTCTGTTTGTATTATTTTCATCAATGTATGAACAAAATATTATAAACCATGCCCTTTAGTGACATTATAAATATCAGGTAAAGTCTGGCTTATTTTACCTGTACAAAATCAAGTAAGTATCTAGGTAACAAAAAACAGGTATTATTGATTTTCATCTGAAGATATTTCTTTAAAAATTATTGACTATATTTATAATGAAATACAGTTAATCAGTTGGAGAATAAGTAATTGTAACAAAAGCAAAATAGAAGACATATTTTCCCTTGAAAAAATCAAATAGAATCCAGAGCCAATTTTGCCAGGTATTATTTATTCAGGCTTCATTTCTTTTAGCCTGTGTACAAGACAAAATTGTTAAATACAAACAAAATTGTTTCTTGTATTTTAATCTGTCATTTGATTTCCCTTAGAACATTAAGGTCCACATGTGATGAAAGAATAAATAATAATTTATGTTGATCACATGAATTCTATAATCCATATCTTCTGCAGAATTGCTACATTGAATTTTATATTATTATTATCTCAAAATTGTCTCAATTTAAATTCACATACCAGTGCTTTTGCCAAAAACATGAGGTATTTCCCCATGTTCTTCTATTATGGTGTTCTGATATATAAATGAAAATAGAATGAATAGAAGCAACTTGTAAATGTAATTAATGGATTAAGTTGTATAACAAATAATTGTGTAGTTGAATAAATCTCAGTAACTAAAACATCATGGATTCAGAAAAATCTCTTTAGAACCTGTATGTTTTTATAGAGCTCTATTTAGTTAATTTGAAATATTACTGAAAATTATGAAGCATGAAAAAAAAAAAAAAGCCAGAGTTCTTAAGAGAAGTTTAAAAAATAACCTGGCCTAAGCCCAAGGTAGCAATTCTTATGACAGATTTTAGGCTACACTAACACATATTTTCCAATCTCCTGAATAAATCTACCTTTGCACAGGGTTGAAGTGTATGGGCACGGTGTCAAAATGAGCAAAGGCACATTTTAAAATGTTAGATATTTATGGTTATAGTTGTTGTAGTTTAGAAATCCTGCATCTGAAAATGGATTAGAAAAGGAATATTTTTGGTGGAAGGCATAAATTTAAAAGAAAATTACTTAACCTTCATTTATATCATGAAGTAGAAAAAGATGACTTCCACAATTTATGTTATTTATGTTAAAATTATATTTTATTAATTTGTAGTGAAGCATATATAGAACTCCATTTTCTTTTGATCAGTTGTTGGAGATAATGCAAATGTAATTAACTCGCCTATGGTGAACTTCATTTTTCAATTTAATTAAAGGTCAGAAGTTATCTAAATCCTTTTAAACAACTGAAAGGAAATTAAATAAAAGACTGACACTTACTGAGACAAAGTTTAAAAGAAAGACCCAAGACTTAACTTGAATCTGCTGAGCAACTTTGGTGGAAGTGATTTCTGAGAAGGTCAGAAGCAGGAAGTAAGCTCATCCACTTTGCGTAGTAGGAAAGAAGAAATGGGGGTGAGGAAAGGGGTATGAACCTCTTTTCTTTTCATAAAGTTATCCTAAAATTGACCCAACGATGAAGGCAGTTGTTATCTGGCCTGTGCTAAGGAGTACACAGTGATTTTACTTCCTCCAGGGTCCCTGTATTAGCCTGTTTGCGTGTTGCTGATAAAGACATACCTGAGACTGGGCAATTTACAAAAGAAAGAAGTTTAATGGATTTACAGTTCCACATGGCTGGGGAGGCCTCACAATTATGGCAGAAAGCAAGGAAGAGTAAGTCACACTTTAGGTGGATGGTGGCAGGCAAAAAGAGAGAGCTTGCGCGGGGAAACTCCCATTTTCAAGCCATCAAATCTCATGAGACCCATTCACTATCACGAGAACAGCACAGGAAAGACCTGCCCCAAGATTTAATCGTCTCCCACTCGGTGCCTCCCACAACACATGGGAATTATGGGAGCTACAAGATGAGATTTGGGTAGGGACACAAAACCAAACCATACCAGTCAAATTTTTTAAAGTAGGGGAAGAAAAGGGAGGACTGTGTCCTTACCATGGATAGACAAATAGTTGTACCATCCTGATGAGTTCTCTGTGTAAGGTGGAGCAATGCGGCTGGAACAACCCAAATGTCAATCTAGAGGATAACCAAAATATGGTATAAACATACACAAAATCAATCAAAAAAGGGAATGAAATTCTGAGGCATTTTACAACATGGATGAACCTTGAAAAAATTATGCTAAGTAAAATAAACCAGATACAAAAGACATTATGTATGATTTTTCTTATATGAGGTTCCTAAATTAGGCAAATTTATGAGAGGCAAAAGTATACTAGAGTTTACCACAGGCTGTAGAGAGGCGGGTATGAGAAGTTATTGATTAATAGGTACCGAATTTCTGTTTGACATGATGAAAAATTAACAGTAATGGTTGCACAACACTTTGAATGTACTTAATGCCCTGAAGTGGTACACTAAAAAATGGTAAAAATGGCAAATGTTATGTTATATATCTTTACCACAATAAAAAAAATTCTAGGGGTAGGGGGAAAAAAGAGAGCAGTGTAGAGTAGTTATAGAAAACTAATTAATTTTTATCTAAAATTAAGAACACTTTAGAATTCTTATCTCCAGTAAATCAAAATATTTAATTTGTTTGTTTTTCAATGTGTGAATTAGGAGTGGAAATTTAATGAGTGTCAGTCTCTAATATAATATTTTATCAGTATGTGTAAAGTTTTCAAGTTTAAATAATTTCCTCACAAAAAATAGCTACCAAAGAACTGCCCTTTAGCAATTGCAAACTTAAAAATAATGTTCATAAAAGTCACTTAGAAAACTTTTAACTTTGCTTGTGAATTTCCATTTTATTTAAATATAAAAAGAAGACATTCAGAAAACTTTCATTGCAATATAAGGATCAGACTAATAAAATGGGGATGCTGAAATTCAAATAATTTTCAAATAATGTCTGTTCTTGAACTTCCCAGGTAGATTTTTTAAATGTTTTTCATGTGGTTGTTGGTTATTCGTTTTTCTTTTAACTCTACAACTTTTCAAATACCCTTCTGGAAGAAATTCCTTTGGTCTGTAAGTTAAAGATAAACAATCTGTCTGAGAGTCTCATCATTTTCAGATCAACCCTCTGGTGCTGTTGTTGCAGCTTCTTCATTCCCATTGTTCAGTGAGCAGGAGGGAATATTACAGTTCTTTGACCCTTGCCACCAGCAGCTCAGTGAGCAGGACCTTTACACCATTACAGCTCCTTCGCTCCTGCTGTTCAGTGAGTTCCAGGTTCTTGACCCATGACTAAGAAGAATAAGCCACGTGGACACAGGAGAGTGAGTAAGACAGGGATTTATTAAGGGACAGAGAAGCTCTCAGCAGCAAGAGGGGACCAGAAGGAGGGTTGCTGACTCTGGTACTAAGTTTGGTGCTTTTATGGACTAGGAATAAGGAGTGCACTGATTGGTCTGCAGGCTGTTTTGGAAAAAGCACCATTCAAAAAGAGACATGATAATATAAAGATCCAATTCGAGGCAGAAATGAAGGCTTGGCTAGCAACCAATCAGGAGCAAGACTGATGTTTCAATTTATGTAAATGAAGATTCGGCCCCCTGCCAATCACAGAAAGGTATATGCAAAACAGGTGAAAGGCAAGAGCCAATTGGGTGGAAGCACATGAAATGGACAAAGGTGTGCCAAGGGGAGAGAAAAATGCCCAAAAAAGGAGTGGAATTTTTTCATTTGGGCTCACAGGGTGGATGTTTACACTTAGGAACACAGGCTTTTTCTTACTTTGGTCCCACAGCTTGATTCTCAGGCTGTTCTTGGATTGAAGGAGTTCTACTGAGGACCCACTCTAAACTGCCTGCCTGCTTGATTTATTCCTTCTTCCTCTCTCACTATTACTATTGATTAATTCTGTGGGGAGTTTCTTTGAAGTTTTTACCTTTTCTGGTGAGGTATACGAACTCTGCATCAAGATCTTAAAATCGTATTTTGAGATCTATTTTTCTTTGTAAGAAAACATTTCTACTAAACACAAAAGAGACAGGCAGCTTGATGCTATGTAGAAATAGCAGTCTCCAAAAGCCTGCTGTATAAATCTGGTCTCAAAATTTAGGCCTAACTATGAGGAATCACACAAATATGGTCTATATATCATGGTTACAATTCTCAGTCTAAAATTAGTCAGCTTAGTCCTATGAAACTTGACTTACATTAAGAGGTTGTGATAGGTATGCTAAATCGTTTGGATTTTAGCTTCTTAAAGACAAAAAACCAGTATATTTTGAATCCCTTTACCCTTCTACCATCACCACCTACCCCAGCCTAGCTCAGATCCTTGTATTGAGTAGATGATTTAACAAATGAGGAATGAATGAGTGGATTTATAATACTGCATAGTGCCCTATGTGTATGTCTCATTGGAGGCAGAATAATATAGAGTATATGACATATGCTAGAGCTGGAAGACACATTGTCATATATTTTGTATAGGCACAAAACTATTTCTTTTGATCAGCATAGTTACTGTTACCTATTTATATTGTATTTGAGTATTTTAGCTGGGATGTATACTCTAATCTATAGTCTTTCAGAGTAATCATTGGTGCCCCACTTTTTTCTTACAAAAGAGGAAACAAAGTGTCCATGAGGTCTTGAGTTTTGAGCCCTTAAATAATCGATGTATCCTATTTGGCCTCAGTTTTCTAATCTGTTGAATAAATAGATAAAGGCCAAATAATTGTTAAGGTTCATTCTGGGTCAGAGACTCTCCTTTTAATGCATTTTTTGGTAAGAATTTTATTGAGATATAATTCACCTGCCATAAAATTGGCTCAAAGTGCACAATTTAGTGATTTTTAATGTAGTCACAGAATTTTGCAACCATCACTACTATCTAATTCTACAACATAACTATCACCCTATTATCAGTCATACCTCATTCCTCTCCCACCTCATCACTTGGCAAACAACAGCCTAGTTTTGGTCTCTATGAATTTACTTTTTCTAGATATTTCATAAAATTTGAATGATGCAGTATGTGGCATTTTGTGAGTAACTTGTTTCATTTAGCATAATGTTTTCAGCACTCAGCCATATTGTAATATGCATCATTACTTCATCTATTTTACTGCCAAATACATTTGTAGTTATGTATTCATCCACTTATGAATATTTTGGGTGTTTTGACATTTTGGCCACTATAAATCATTCTGCTATGAACATTTATGTACAATCGTCATGGAAAATATATTTTAATTTCTTTTGAGTATATATCTAGAACTGGAATTGCTAGGTCACATGGGAAGTTTAACATTTTGAAGAGCTGTTTGTTTTTTAAAGTGACTGTACTGTTTATGTGCCCATTTGTAATAAATGAGGGTTCTTTTTTTCTCCACATCCTCACTAATATTTGTCGTATCATCTATCTTATTCTATTTCAGCCATTTTTCTGCATATAAAATAATTTTTTGTTGTTTTGATTTATATTTGCCTAATGCTATATTAATAAGCATCATTTGGTGTATTAATTGGTTGTTTTCATAACTTCTTTAGAGGAACATCTGTCTATCTAAATCCTTCAGTCATTTTTTTTTTTTCTTTTGAGACGGAGCTTCGCTCTTGTTGCCCAGGCTGGAGTGCAATGGTGTGATCTTGGCTTCTCGCAACCTCTCCTGGGTTCAAGTGATTCTCCTGCCTCAGCCTACTGAGTAGCCGGGATTACAGGCATGCACCACCACGCCTGACTAATTTTGTATTTTTAGTAGAGATGCGGTTTCTCCATGTGGTCAAGCTTGTCTTGAACTCCCGACCTCAGGTGATCTGCTTGCCTCAGCCTCCCAAAGTGTTGGGATTACAGGCGTGAGCCACCATGACTGGCCTAAATCCTTCAGTCATTTTTATTAGGATATTTGTCTTTTAGTTGCTGAGTTTCAAAAAACTTCTTTATATATTGTGGATATAATGTTAGACCTGGTCTTCTGTTAGGCATAGGATTTGCAAATACTTTCTCCCATTCTGTGGGAGACCTTTTCAATTCCTTGATGGTACCCTTTGCAATAAAAAAGTATTTAATTTTCATGAAGTAAATTAAACTACTTTTTCTTTTGTTACTTGTGTTTTTTGGAGTCATGTATGATAAATTATTGCCTAATTCAGCATTACAAAAATTGACTCATATTTTTTCCCCTGTGGGTTTTACTATTTTAGCTTTTAAACTTAGGTCTGATTCATTTTGAATTAAAATTTGAATATATCTTTAAGTAAGGGTTCAACTTTATCTTCTTTCAGTCTATAACAAGCTTTCCAGTACCATTTGTTGAGGAGACTGTTCTTTCACTATTGAGGTATATCAACACCTTTATTGAAAATCAGTTGATCACAACTTTCAGGGCTGATTTCTGGACTTTTACTTCTATTTCATCTATCTATTTGTCTGTTCTTATACCAGTACCATACTGTCCTGGTTACTATAGCCTTGTAGTAAGTTTTCAAATTAGGAAATGTAAGTCCTAAAACTTTATTTTTTTTTTCAAGGTTTGCTTTGGCTATCCTGAATCCTTTGCATTTCCATATGAGTTTTGGGATCATCTTGGCAACTTCTGCAAAAAAGAAGCTGGAATTTTGGTAGGGATTGCATTAAAGCTGTAGAACAATTTGGAAAGTATTGTCATATTAGTAATAATTAGTCTCCCGATGCATGAACATAGGATATATTTTCAGTTATTTAGACCTCCTTTAATTTCCTTCAAAATGCTTTACATTTTTTTCAGTGAATAAATTTTACACTTTTTAAATTATATTTATTTCTAAGTGACACAGGATCCCTTCAGTGCTGCTTTGCCAGCTGGAAGTCTTCACGGCCAGCAGTACCTCTGCCCGGGCTTTGCTTGGCTCTGGGTTCATGGCTGGGCTCACTCTGCCCACTTGGTCCAGCAGGCTGCAATCAGCTCATGCTACTGGCCTGGATCCTACACCTACACAGGGACTCCTCACTCTCAGTTCATGACTGAATCCAGGTGTGCTCTGGGCAGTTTTCACAGTGCTTCCTGACCTCTGGATGAGGGGGACATGGTGGAATCTGAAAACTTGAAGATACCAGCAGCCACGAAGCCCCAAGGGAT